GGGTGAGGGGGGGCAGGGGGGAAGACACTTGTGTTCCCCCGCGGGAAGCACCCCCTCACCAGATGCGAAAGTGGGTGCTGGGCGGGGAGCCATCCCCTTCCTGCAGTCAAAGTGCACCCACACAGGCACTTCTGCCGTCCTGACACCCTCCCCGCCTTCTCCTTTTCCAGCAGGCCTCAGTGGATCCAAGAGGATGCAGGTAGGGAGCCACTTTTGGACCAGTGAGGAAACCTTGGAAGAAGAGATGGGCATCTTGGGTCTCTAGGGATAGCCTAGTGTCCATGTGCATGACTGTGGAGTAACAGACATGGTCAAACCCTAATTCACTTCTGGAACAGTGAAACTTTTTTTTCCATTCCTTGCAGCATTTCAGTAAGCCAGGTTTCACCAGTGTTGCTTTTCAGGAATTTTCCTCTCCAATGCTAATTATTAAAAATGTGCCTTGAAAAACTCTCAGAATTCTTTCAAAGCATCGCTGAGATTTCTTCTGAATACTGAGAGCTTGGTGGTCTGTTTCTGGTTATAAACTGAGTTCAGTGCTTGAATGCATGAATGGATGAATTTGATCCTGGGCACCCAACTGAACTGAACCCGCTTCTTCCATTCATCAGTAAAACCCATTCCTGTAGAGAGACAGTATGGACACTGCACAGCGTTTCCATCAGTACTCCAGCAGTCCCTGCATTTAAAAATGTTCATTCACAGCACTCCTCCAATCTGCAGCACACACCCTCAGTGATGTGCTTCATAAGAAAAAAAGAAAAAAAAAAGACAAAAGTAGAACCTCTGGAACTTCTGGAACTTCTGGCACCTTGCAATACGACTGTGTCTTGGTTTCAGCCTCTTTAAACTGGACATTTCCTTCAAGAGAAACGCCATTTTATTTCAGCATTGTTAGTATCTCAGAGAAGACCTTGGCAGTATGCTACGCACAGCACACGTAGGCTAGCCCACAACAGGAACTGTAAGCTCTGAACCAATGCCTGGCCATATGCCTACCTCTGGTGGCCTGAAAACTCTTCCTGGTGTCTCCCACAAAGACAGGGAAGATAAAAACTCAATTTTGGCTCATTAGATAAGGGATTTATAAAGGAGAGTTGCCTTGTGCTCTGACTAGACATGAAGATGTAGGCTGTATCTACAGTCCTGAAAGAAACTGTGACAGTGATTGCTGATGCTCGGGCCAAGGGCATGCAAAGCAGTTTTTCTCCATACTTTGGCCTGGCAACCCACAGAGATCACCACGGCCACCCTGTGTAGCATTGTGCCAAGGTCTCCTGTAGGCATCATACAGTGACCTTCTCACCCATAGTTCTCAGGCACAATGACTTTTTTTAATCTCAAAGTGCTTGAAATAAGAAGACCGTGGTGCAGGCAGCAGAAGTAGGGACTGTTTTGCATGATGGTGAGGCTGCGTATCATGTGCAAGCGGAGCCTAGGGTGGGTGCTGCGGAGATTTTTGGTTTTGTAATGTGCTCTGGCATAAAGATGGAAGTGGAGAAGAGGGATTCAAGCTTGATTGCCTCCATGTAGCCTTGTGGGAGAATTTGTAGACCGATCTGTTACAATTTATGTTGAGTTCAGTTTCAGGTTAAATTAGCTATTTTGTTTCAAAGGACAACTAGAGACTGACCTCGCAGTAGTAGTCACACTATGGAAGCTCAGAGTGCAAGGAAATCGTGGCAAGCCATGCAGCTAGGTTTTCTGTCTGTGTTGATGCATCTCTGGCGTGGGTTCATTGACCTTCCTCTGGGTTCATTTGTCAATGTCTTTCTTGTGTTTGGGTCACAAAATCAGACACAGAATTCTAGAGGTCATCTAACAAGTAGTGAGCAAAAGGGGATAGCCCCTTCCCTCAGTCTATTGGCTGTGCTCCTGCTAAGGCAGCCCTGGTTGCTGTTAGCTTGCTTTGCCTCCAGGGCATGCTAGTGGCCGACTCTTATTCCCTGATTTCTGTTCTGTTAAGTGAGCCCAGGTTTGTCACTGGTTTCGTGCTACGTAGATACCTCTCTATTTCTCAGCCTGAAACATGAAAATAAAACCCACACATGATGTGCGATCCACTCACTCATCCAGAGAGTGTAAGGAAGTGTAATGAGGAATCTGTCGAGAAGTCAGACTGATGACGCAAGCTTTAAACAACATGCACTGGAGGTTGAGGATGACAGCCTACAGGTGAGGGTGGGAATAGTGGACAGTGTGGTAAATCCATGGGGCAGCGTAGTGAGAGTGAGAGAGCCCTCAGGAAAAATTAAACAGGATAAGACTGGGTCTCTGCAAGTGGCTATGCACAAAGAGAAGCTGATTAGAGCTCTGTAAGCCAACACACAACTGTGATGTCACTGGAGTAACCGAGCTCTTATTTTACTGATTTCGTGCTGTGTGAAGGCTATACGGGAGAGACAGGAAAGGACAAGGTGGAAGGGATTTCCTTTCACATGAAGGAACAACAATTCTACAGGTGGGCAGTGGGCCAGCTGGGAACCTGTGGGAAAGATTCATATTGCAGGCTAGGTCCTCCAGCCCCAACTACCTTCCTGGCATGCAGCTGGACTCAGTCCAGTGTATCAACATTTTCCTTCTCTCGTGGAGCCCAAAACTGGATGCAGCATTCTAGATGTGGTCAGATGAGTACTGAGTAAAGTGGACTAATCACTTCCCTAGATTTCCT